CACAAGTCATTCTTCTCTTATTAAGAAATGAAGAATGAAAGTTGTCAACATTGGAAGGTGTACCCTTTAAGGAGACAAGTCTACAGTTTCCATCTCACGTCATTTCTTAACGACCAAGGATCACAGATTGTGTCATCTCATCGATCGTGATCACATCCCTAACATGGGATTCATCATCTCTAGTGTGCAATGCAAATGTGGGTTGTTTTGGTGATAGAAGATCTGATGTTGTGGTGAACATAGACAACAATTCGAGCGTGTTGGGTCTGTCTACAGGTTCGTGTTGAACACAGAGCAGACCAATCTGAACACACCTCCCAACTTCAGATGGGTGACTTGAATCAGCAAGATCTTGGTCCAAAAGTTCAACTCCTCCATTCTCACACCAAGAGTCCCAAGCCTGTTGTTTAGTTTCAAATCATAAGAATATAAGAGCCAGAAACGTTCTTAAACATCTGCAAGTGTGTGAAAACCTAAACTCTTACTTACATATGCAAGAAGGGTTTTTCCTTCGCCATTACTGAACCTTGAGATCTTCTCTCCGCTTACGATTTCTAAAAGCAAAACTCCAAAGCTGTAGATGTCTGATTTCTCAGAGAACATTCCAGTCCATGCATACTCCGGAGACATATATCCTCTGCAAATATATTAAGTAGTTTCTCCCAAGTTAATATCTGATTTTTAACTTTGAATCCTAATTAATTATGGCTTTGAGAATAGATTCTTACAGAGTTCCTACAACCCGGCGAGTGTTGTCCTGATACTGGGTTCCCTGATACATCCGAGCCAATCCGAAATCTGATATTTTTGGGTTCATTTTCTCATCCAGAAGAATATTGCTGACCTTGAGATCTCGGTGAATAACCCTGAGGCGTGAGTCGTGGTGGAGATAGAGAAGTCCACGCGCAATACCTTGAATGATATCAAATCTCTTTGGCCAATCAATCTCAAGCCTTTTTCTTGAATCTAAGACATAATACCGTGTAAAAACTATCAGACAAAAAGTTCCACATAAATAAAATGCTACTGATCGTATAGGAATGCTGCAAGAAGGGACCAACCAAAGAGAAATGTATCAAGGCTTTTGTTCACCATAAACTCATAAATCAGTAGCTTCTCTTCTCCTTCGATGCAACATCCCAAAAGCCGGACTAAGTTTCTGTGTTGGAGTTTTGAGATGAGTATTATTTCATTCATAAACTCTTCTTTGCCCTGTCCGGAGCTGCTAGAAAGACGTTTTACAGCCATTTCTTTCCCATCTTGCAGCGTTCCCTAAAAAAGATTGCGGAAGGTCATCGCGAGAACATCAAATGAAAAATACAAAAGAGCAGAGAGGATTAAAATGATCAGACCTTGTAAACTGGGCCAAAACCACCTTGTCCCAGCTTATTTGAAAGATTGAAATTATTGGTGGCAGTTTGAATAGTATTCATCTCAAAGAAATGTAAACCTGCGACATCTTCTTGTTTGAGATCATTCCTCCATGCACCTTGTGAAGCAACCTTTGATATAGTAGCTGAAATTGGAGTTGCAATAATGCATGTGTTAGTGCTTTTTTGACATCATTCATGTGTGCTTAACATCTAGGAATTTAGCCATCAAGCTAAAACTCAAACAGAAGCTTAAAGCGAGCATATCAAAATGTACTCAAGCAAGCCAAAATCATGGTACTATAAAGAATAGAGTATGGTTTCTAAGAACATATATGTGGGAGTCCATTTAAAGTAGGTTTGATGCATATATAAGACGTAGTGGAAAAAATCTTTTTGCTTTCATATTGCTAATCAATAATTCAAAAGTAATGTGGAAGGAAGGACCTACGATCTAGGGGCTTTTCTTATATACTTGTTATGTTAGCTAGAAAATGAGTAGAGATAGTATGGTCATCATTGTGTTACCATTATGTTTCACTCTGTATCTCCAGATAACAAGCGCAGCAGAACCCAATATCACAAAAAGAGAAAGGCTCACAATACTAGCAGTAATGGTCTTCTTGCGCTTGTTTCCTCCTGAGATATATAAGAAAAACAAATTAAACAAATAAGCCATGCTTATAGTATCAGTGACAATGAAGATAAAGTTGTAAATGACAAAGAAGCACTATGATGTTATAATTTTCAAGGCATACCCATTTCAGAACGTGCAAGACGAATGGAAAGAAGCTCTCCTCTCGCAGAAAATTGCACTACGTCCATTAGCTCCTGATTCCACGTTAAGCATCCTATTCCTTGAATATAAGCAAAGGCCAAGCAAGAACAGTTGCGGAGGCAACTTTGGTAGCATTCTTCTGCACCACCGGAATATATAAATTCGTAAAAGTCTGGAGGCTTTATATTGCCAACAGGATGGAAGATGTTTGTATCTTTACCAGTAGAGTTTCCCTGACATTGTAGTTCGGTACGCCTCACACAACCACCAGTCCAGTTTCCTCTTTTCCATTCCTCGTTGGATTTTGGTACAAAGCCTTTAAAGCATTTGCACTTTGGAGGAATGGACATCATACACAACCCAAAAGGTCCACAGACACCGTAGTAATCACATAAGTTTGTTGGAGCCTCAAATTTCAATTCCCAGTTGGTCCCATTATGCTGAGAAATCTTCAGTGATCCCTCAGCTGTTATCGTTGTAGGCATAAATGTGAAGTTTCGGGGTATGTAACTGAAGTCTCCTAACCCGTTTGCATCCTGCTGAAGGCTGAATAAGCCTGCATATGTTTCATCCATTATTGGTACTCCACTGAACCTTGTTTTTTTCCATGGACCACTTCTCCAGTAAGGCGTCGAGCCTTTCATAAGAAACACCTGTGACGGTACTTGCGGAGTAATCTGACCCACAAATTCACCAGGCGATGGATCAGTGTAACTTTTCCAAGAAGTCAACACCCGCTTCTCACCAGTTGCGAGGTTATACATCAGAGATGAGTAAGGTAACATAGTATCACTAAGATGCTCAATGCTTTGCCATAGAGTTCTCCCCGAAACACTGTCGATAACAATAAGATTTCCACTGTCTGAAAGCTCTGCTCGAGACCCATTAGAAGCAAAAGTGTCTCCAGTGGACCAGACAACACCATGTTTGCCATTTAATAAGAGAAGTCTTCCATTGGTGCTGATAGCTAGATTCGCCGTGGAGTCTGTAACAGGATTTTCTCTATTGGCAACCCAAACAACCACCCGGGGAATGATAACCTTGAACCAGATTCCAACATACCGATTGAGAGAGTTATTAGGACGGAAGAACCCCAATTCGTAAAGATTATTAGAGGAGCTAAGAGTCTGCCCTATTGACAAAGGACTCTCTGTTGTTATAGCTGCATAGCTACAACTTAAGAGCATGGTTATCAAGAGAAAGCACGCAAAGAAAAACCTTGACTTCTTCATGTGTGTTCCTATGTCTCCAAGAACGATCTCCTTCAGATTATTGTAAGAAGAGAACATGCAAACAAGAGAAAGTAAGCCAAGAAAACAAACTCAAGGACGTAAGAGAAAAAAATTCTCAAGCACCTCTAAACAATGTTGACCACTGCCCACCCATATTCCAAGATTCTGCAGTATTTTTATTCACGATCAACTATATCCTTGTTTTATAATACCAATTAGGTAAAATGAAATGGTTATGTTTACCAGTTGGCTCCAAAGAATTCCAACCTTTTAGCCAATGAACCATATTGAAACATTGTGTCATTTTCATATCCTTGTTAACTCTTTGAGCCCATAACCAATGAAAAATAGTCATCATCACTCTGGTTCAACCAAAATATGATAATTGTACCACTTACCTGTCACTTTCTGAACCCAATTAAATGTATATGGTTTTAAACATCGGCCCGACATCACGCGGAAGTAATTTGAAAGCTTCAAACGAACGTCAATTCTGGAAAAGCCTTGGCCATCAGGTTCTCCAAAAATGGAAGATGAACATAGACAATCAATAACTTATGGATCAGCCTTCCTCTCTCAAAGTAACCTACACAAACAAGTAAAACACCGATGATCTAGGTTAGAACCGTTTGTCCAACATTGTGTTTCAGTTGATTGTTAAGGATTCTCACTCTGACCGTGTAAAACATTCCTTTCTAAACACTTCTTCAGAGATCCCTTGAGGCATTCACTAGAGACCCTAGTCAAAGATCCCAAACCAAAGATCTTCTGAATATACCAGTTGACCTCGCAGCTTGAAAAAAATGTGTAGTGGGAGATAAGACATATACATTCTAAATCAATTAAAAGGTGGAACTGTGTTAATAGAGCGCAGGTTTGAAGCCTTACATCTCGTTCAGGCATTTCAACGAACACTTAGGGAGCATAATCAAAACGTTCGAAGAAGCCTTGCTATTGCTAATGTCACCGGACCTAAAGTCTTGATCCGTCTTCATAGATAGTATGGCCGATTGATAAATCCAACTGCTTCTGACTTTACCGGCGAACGAACGTTGGAGTGACACCATCGAAAACATAAAATGTTGAGACGCAAGAAAAGACGATTCACACTATTACGTTGCAAATTTCTAAAAAAACAATTTTTTATTTTTTGAATTTCATGATATACCAATGCCCCCAATGGGGAATACTTTTTTAAATATAGGGAACTTGCGCGTAATATGAAAATAAAATTAATAAATCCACAAATCATATTATTCTATACAATTCCATTGATTCAGTATAGAAAAACTCAGTATGA